GAGGGCGGGCCGACGCGGGAGCGCTACGTCCAGTCGGCCGCGTCGCTCGTCGCGCTCCTCGCGCCGCTGTTGCGCGACGAGGTCGCCAAAGCCGACGAACGGGGCGCGCCGCTCGAGCTCCGGCTCATGGGCGTGCGCACGTCCGACTTCGAGGTCAAGGTCGCGCCGCGGGCGCCGGGCCAGCGAAACCTCGAGGACGCCTTCGCGCCCGCGCGGCCGCCGTCGCCGAAATACCGGCCGCCCGGCGGCGCGGATGTCGACGCCGCGGTCCTCGCGGAGCTGCCCCCGGACATCGCCGACGAGCTCCGGGCGCAGATGGGCCGCGACGCCGCCGTGTCGCGGCGGTCGCCGCCACCGCGGGCGCCGCCGGCGAAGCCCGCGGCGGCCGCGCGGCCGAGCCCGGCGACGCGGTCCATCGCGGCCTTCTTCTCCAAGCCGGCGCCGCGGCCGCCGCCGCCGGACGCGCGGCCGCCGGACCCGCCGCCGGTCGACGAGGGCGCCGTGGGCCGCGTCGTCGAGATGGGCTTCGGCCGCGCGCGCGCCGTCGCCGCGCTCGCCGCGTGCCGCGGCGACGTCGAATTGGCCGTCGCGCGGCTCCTCGGGGACGCGCCGGGCTAAGGGCCGCGGCCCCGACTCGAAACCTACCTCGGTGTCTTAGGAGGCGCGCGAACCCCGGCGCCTAGGCCTTCTGGGCCTTTTGCTGCTCCTGGAGCTGGCGCAGCCGCTTCTCGATCGTCGCCTTCTCCGCGTTGATCTTGGCCATCTTGCGCCGGGACGTGGACATGCCGCTGCTCGGCGTCGGCGGCGCGGACGCGGAGATCATGGGCAGCGGCGCGGCGCCGGCGTACCCGCGGGCCCCGGCGCCGCGCGGGAAGCAGTCCTCGACGAGCGCCGCGTAGGGGAGCGTGTTCGACCCGGAGACGTCGTACCACGTCACGAGCTCCCGGAGCCTGTGCCGAAACCAAATCTTCAACCCGACTTCAATGTGAGCGTATTCGAATGTTTTGACACAATCTCTTCGGCTGGGCTTCGAGAACTCGACGAGAGCGATCGATCCGTCCAAAAATCAGCCGAATCGACTTCGATTTGACCGAGCTAGAGAATTCTCAAGTTTGGTCAGGACCACCCAAACCAGTGGTTGGTTTCGGCACAGCCTGGAGCTCCCGGTCGTTGAGAGGCGCGCGGAGCTCGCGCGCGAGCCTCGCCAGGTCCTTGGCCGTCGCCGCGCCGGAGCCCGCCTTGTCGATGCGCAGCAGCGTGCCGTGGAGCAGGTCCCGGGGCGGGATGGGCTGGCCGCCCTTGGCGGCGCGCGTCTTGGGCGCGGCGCGGAGCACGGCGGCCCTCAGGCGGTCCTTCGACTCCGCGATGGACGGCGGCAGCGCGACGGCGACGTCGCCGTCGGCCCGGGCGCTCGGCGGCGGGCCCGCGGCCCGCTTGGGCACGGGGTGGGAGATGAAGTGGGGCACGGCCTTGGCGATCTCGTCGACGAGGTCCATGTAGTGGATCTCGCCGTCGCCGAAGCGGCCGCGGTTGCCCTTGCGGTCGTAGTAGCGGACGATCTGCCGCGCGTGCATCTCGCTCATGTCCATGCCCACGCGGTTCATGGCGCCCATGAACTCGCGCACGTTGAGCTCGCCGGACGCGTCCGAGTCCCAGAAGAGGAAGGCCTCGCGGAGGATGGACTGGACCGTGCCGCCCTGGCTCAGGATCCGCGCCTCGACGGCGTAGCGGAGCTTCACCTTGAACTCCTCGGCGAGCGCGTTCTGCGTCTTCTCGTAGGGCCGGCACGTGAAGAGCGACTCCAACA